GGAGCAGGAGAAGGAGCAGGAGCAGGAGTAGGACCAAGGAGCAGTAGCAGTAGCAGTAGCAGGAGCAGTAGCAGTAGCAGTAGCAGTAGCAGTAGCAGTAGCAGTAGCAGTAGCAGTAGCAGGGGCAGGGGCAGGGGCAGGGGCAGGTCCGCACCTCCCGACGAGCCTTCAAGAACTCTTGCAGCAGCGCGTTGGGGTCGTTCTCCTGTCAAGTCCTCGTGATCCCAAGCAAACCCCCTGCTAGTCCCCACCTGTACTCTTTGCGCTCTCTTCTCCGACGCGTTCATCTGTGCTACTGGCTTGCCAGCTGAGTTTCCGTTGGGCAGGGGGGGCAGGCCGTTGGAGTGCGCTCCTATCCCGTTGGTGTAAGCTGTCGACTTGAGTCAGCAGGGAAGGAGGAGCAGCAGGAGGACAACGATAATGGGTAGGAGGTAAAGGAGTAGGAGGAGGCAGAGGGAGGGAGGGGGGGGAGGAGAATCTTTACGTTGAGATGGAGCAGAAGAGCTTGAGAGGGTCGAGGGGATCGGGTGGGCGTGACCTGATGTCAAAGTCAATGTGACTGCCCCACGTCGCAATTATGATTTGTCAAAGTTGACAGTTACCGTTGACATGAGCGGGGGGGTGCCTTTCGTTAGGATCGAGCTGCTGCTGCTCGGAAAGAAAGACGTCAAACAAGCCAAAACGAAAGTCGAGAAGTTCCGGACCGGAGTGTCACGGATGGCGTAGACCATCTGCATGAGGCTGTCCAGTGCTTTCTTCTCAGCTGCCAGCCCAGCCATCACCCAGCAGGGACTTTGACAGGGTCAAACTTCACCAGCCAGCCTCGACTTTTCCTTCATCAGCGATGCTCCTCCTCCAAACTTGTCGTAGGCAGCCCAGGAGGAGCGAACGACGTCGCAGCACCTGGCCCAGGGGCGTCAGCTGCAGGAGGAGGAAGGGAGCCGGTCAGCGAGGTACCGTCTGGTGAAGGCAAGGGGATCTTGCGTTGGGTCTGGTCCAGCTGCAGTGTCCTGCTCGTTGACATCCTAGTCAGCTGCCGAGACTTGGCGGCCCGCCCGGTACCTTCACTGCAGCCCCGGCAGCTGGAGGATCCGATGGGGTTGGAGCTGGAGTCTGCGCAGCTCTAGACAACCAGCTGGAGGAGATGCACGTCAAGAGCTGAAGAGAACGAGCCAGGGAGGTCCCACCGATCTAACTTGGACTTCTTGCCTCCATCATCGTCCGAGGCTGCGGCCCCAGGAGGAGGAGAAGGAGGAGGAGGCTGTTTTGCCCTCGACAGCCATCGGTCAAGCTTGTTGTTCCCACTTGCAGGAGCAGGAGACGTCTGGCTCAGGCGTCAGGGCTCTGACAAGAAACCTTCAGATCCCTCGCACCTGGTCTGCCACGTTCGGGGCCTCCGTCGCCGTCGCCTCTGGCTTGCTAGGGGCTGGAGCTGGGGCCCTTGACGGAGGGAGGAGAGTCAAGAGCTGGACAGGATCCCTCCTTCCTCCTCTCTCACTCGTTCGTCTTCCTCTCTCGTTCCACCGCCTCCTTCATCAACGACGCGAGCTCCACCAACACTGCAGTGACCATGAGTCTTATCCCCATGTGACAGCTGGTCGAGCAGAGAAATTCCTCCTTTACCTGTTTGCAGGACTCCAGTGGCTTCGTTGGCGTCCTTGGGCAGGGGAGGGACGACAATCTGAGCTGGAGGAGAGCTGAACTTGCCTGCATCTGGTACCGTCCCCTTGGACTGCATTGCATCCACAAGGCAGGATTGTACCTGTCAAGGAAGGAAAACTCTTATCTCAGACCAGCATCCCTCCAGCGCATCTCCCTCTCAGGAAATCTCGTTGAGCACAAAGGAAGCAAACACAAGAGAGCTGGCAAAAACAGATACCTTCTTCAACTCCTCCGGCTCCAGCAACTACAATATTCGTTACTCCAAAACTTCTCTTGCTTCGACACTATCCTCACCTTGATCAAGTTGCAGCACGCAACCAGCCCTTCGTTCTCCTTGTCTGCTCATACGTCAAAATACCTCAATACACCATCTTCCAGCATAATCCCTTCCACCACCATTCCCTCGGCTCTTAAAGTTTTCATCTCCTCTTTCGCATTTTCTTGTCTCCTTCCCAATTCCTTCCTCCCCCCCCCCTTTTTATCTCTCGTCTACCTGTGCACTGTTCGTTGTCCGCAGCATCCGCATGGCCGTTCATAGCTGGCTCTGCCTTAGCTCGTGAAAGCCATCTGTCCAGCTGTAGACAAAGTTCAGCCTTCGCACCATGCCAAGGGAGGGAGGAAAGCAGTAACCTTCTTGCCCTGGGGTGGAGCTGGAGCCTCTGCTGGGGTTTCATCTTGGAACGGCGGATCCACTTTCACCTTGTTCAGCCATCGAGCAAGCTTGCCTTCCGACATTGAAGGAGAGGGCAGGAGGCAGGAGGCAGGGGCAGAGGAGCTGGCAAAGAACATTGCCGTCAGCTTCCGTTGAGAGTTGCTCAGTTCGGTTCGCGGTACATCGAGAGGACAGTGCCGATATTCAGAACGAACTATCTATACATATCTCCTCCTCCCTACTTCCTACCCTCCCCACTTCCCTCTTTCTCGTACTCTGCATACGTTTCCTTGCGATATTCCTGCACCCAACAATCATCCAACCACTCCATGATCTGCTTGTCGTCATGTACTATCCCTTCCTCTCCTCCTCCCTCCTCCCTCTATCCCTTCCCCTTCCCTCAGCTTCCTCCGCCCTCTCACAGCTCCATCCCCCTCCCTCTCTCTCCTCTCCTTCCTCCTCTCTCATCTCTCTCCCTCTCCATCATCTCTCTCCCTTCCCCTTCCCTCATCTCCTTCCTCCTCTTCCTCCTCTTCCTCCCCCCCGTCCCCCTCCCCCTCCCTCCCTGTCGCATTTCAACCTCGTCACCTCCTGCATTTTTTCTCCAAAAATAGAAAATTTTGTTGCCCCCCTCGTCCCCCTGCATTACAAAACTTGAAAGGTGGGGCGGGCCCGCGGGTGGTCCGGTAACCAAGCGTCGAAGTGCAGCAGCACTGAGCTGTTCAGTGAAGTGCAGCAGGCCAGCAACAGCTGCTGCTGCTGCTGCTGCTGCTGCTGCTGCTGCTGCTGCTGCTGCTGGCCTGCTGCTGCTGCTGCTGCTGCTGCTGCTGCTGCTGCTGCTGCTGCTGCTGCTGCTGCTGCTGGCCTGCTGCTGCTGCTGCTGCTGCTGCTGCTGCTGCTGCTGCTGCTGCTGCTGCTGCTGCTGCTGCTGCTGCTGCTGCTGCTGCTGCTGCTGCTGCTCCTGCTGCTGCTCCTGCTGCTGCTGCTGCTGCTGCTGCTGCTGCTGCTGCTGCGAACCATCTCTCCGAGTACGGCAGCAGATTTTCTTATCTGACGAGGCCTTCTCCTCTTCCTCTTTGCCAGGTGTGTATCCACACAGTGACACACTTGAAGATCAATCACGGATCGAGCAAGGCTCATCTGGTGAAGACAGAGAAAAAAAAAAGTCTCGAAAATTTACTGTTGGTAAACTACAAAAGGATCGAAGGAGAAAACTGTCTTCTCATAGTTTGATGGCTCGTCTGTTCAACTTCACACCGAGCATTCGCAATGAAAGGCCTCTCACTTGACATGCGGCTCCTCATGGATACAGCAGAAACAAACTTCAAGCAAAGATCAAGTCAACACAAGTGAACACGTCCGGGCCGTAAGATATCCTGTCATACCCCTCCCTCCATCCCAGCTCCCCCCCACCAGGCTAGAGCAGTTTTCCGCTAGCCATTGTAGGGTCCTCTATGAGTGTTGCATCATAAACGTATCTTTGTGGATACAACACGTATCGTTGTGGATACAACACGTATCGTTATGGAAACAACACTCTCCTTGCTCCTGAAACGATAGGCTCTCTTTAGTTCAGCGTTGTTTCACTCAACCATCTCATCTCAACTAACACCTCCACATGCTCCAGCGCCTCCTCCAGTAGCTCCCCGATCATTCCCTCCCTCCATACGTCCCTCCCTCCTCTTCCTCCTGCCCCTCTTCCTCCTGCCCCTCTCCCTCCGGCTCCCGTCTCCCTATCCTCCCCTCCCTCCCGACCCTTTTCTTGACCCTCTCCCTGCCCGCTCTGCAGTCCTCGTCCCGTCCTGTCGTACGGCCACCGCTTGATCCCCACCTCCTTGCACGCTCGCTTCAGCGCCGTCAGCGAGATCCCCTGCTCCCCCCGCACGTCAGCTCGCCGCCCCCGCCAAGCAAGAGAGGAGGAGAAGAAGGACGCGAGACTCACGAGGGTGTCGGCGGCGTCGGCCTGGCGGAGGGGGAGGAGGGGGGCGATGTCTTGGTAGGAGAGGTAGCGGACGGGCTTGCGGGGGAGGGCGAGGAGGGTGTGGGAGGAGGAGCGGCGGGGGACGATGCGGGCGACAGGAGGAGGGGGCAGAGGAGGCAGAGAGGAGGAGGAGGATGTCGCGTCAGGGGAGGATGCCATAGTTTGATTGAATGCACACAGCGTGGGAGGGCGAAGGGTCAGATTGAACTAGACGAGGGGGGGGGGGACAGAGGAAGAGCAGGGAGAGGAGGAGGAAACTAGATGGGGGGAGCAGAAGAGTCGAGGAATAAAGTAGAGGAATAAACTAGAAGAGATGGCTCTGTGACAACAATGTGCCACAGGGTCAGGGGTATGGTCGAGTTACTCGAGGAGACAAGACTGAAATCGATCAGGTACGACCCCTGCCTTTCCACGACCTTTCACGATACCCCTGATGTGCCCCCAACTCCCCACCCTAGGGGCACAATCACGGGCTGAAGCCGTGCATTCTGGCCTACCCTACCGTGATGTTTTCAGTTCTGTCTCACTAAGTGAATCTCTTGTAGCTCGGACCTCTGAGCACCTGGACTGCTATACTGTAACAACCCCTCCCCGGGGCCCCGTGTCACGTTCCCGGCAGGAGCGCGAAGGGGTTAATGGCAGGACTGCGAGATTTCAGTCTTGTGGTCAATGTGAAAATGCAACAGGCAGGACCCTCGGGCTGCGAGAGCAGATGAGAGATAAGGCTGGCAAACATTGATGCATAGGCCACAGTAAAGATCTCGTGACGGTTACTCGTGACATTCTGCTGTAGTAAGATCGAAAGGCCGGGCCACTGCAGTGATGCCGCCGCGCTCGGGGTGTGGCCGGCGGTGGCGTACTAGCCAGGGCGCCCGGGCTCAGTCACTGTGTGCCGGGCTGTCGTGACTGACTGACTCAGGCCTGATCGGACTGATTGACTGACTGACTGACTGACTGACTGACTGACTGACTGACTGCAGCCTTCAAGGCTTGTAGTCTTCAAGTAGTGCCACGGTGAGCGGAATCATCGAGTCCAAATGATCGGGAAGGCTTCCAGTGATCAGCTTCATCATTGACTTTTGAAAGTTGAGGTTTCTGCTTCAAACTTGCCGCGGGGTAGGACTTCACTGCCGGGCAGTTGGATCGAACGGTCGGCAGGGTTCGGACTCGGACTCGACTCAGTGCAGTGATAGTCTTCCATCATCCTACACTGTCGCACAGGCCATACGGCAAGAAGAGAAAAGACAGTGACTCAGTGAGAACCAACCCTCATCCTGCCGACTGCTGTCCCCCAACTGGCAAACTTGACTGAGTAGTAGTAGCAATACAGTACGGTAGCGTCGAGCTCAATTAGGCTGATTGAAATCCAGTAGATCGAGTGCCTTCACAGCGATGATTGGATGCCTGACTTACTCCCCACCCCTCCCCCACCGTCATAATACTCGGATCAAGGCACCTCCGCTGGAACACATAGTACAGATGAAGGGTGGAGATATGAAGTTTATTTGAGATGCAACACGACAGGTTCGTTGCATACTCAGAAGCCCTGGAACACCAGACCATTTCAAGTAGTTGTTGAGAAAGGACCATGTCATCACTTGCTGCTCACTCCCGCTCAATAAGATTCCTTCTTGCGGAGACTTGGGATCAATCACGGTCACAACAAAGAGCTCTGATACAGTCTTGAGGAAGCTGAGAGGATATATGATCATCAAAGTGAAATAGTCATGTAATAACAGCCTCAAGCTACTTCGGTCCTCCATTGCTGTAACTTACCGCGTTCCTCCTCACTGCCACCTCCACATGCTCCAGCGCCTCCTCCAGTAGCTCCCCAGCGCCTCCTTCCCTCCATTGCCCCCTTACCCCAGCCTCTTCTACACCCCCTCTCCTACCCCCTCTTGGTTTCCTGTCGTACGGCCACCGCTTGATCCCCACCTCCTTGCACGCTCGCTTCAGCGCCGTCAGCGAGATCCCCTGCTCCCCTCGTCGCACGTCAGCTCGCCGCCCCCGCCAAGCAAGAGAGGAGGAGAAGAAGAACGCGAGACTCACCAGAGTGTCGGCGGCGTCGGCCTGGCGGAGGGGGAGGAGGGGGGCGATGTCTTGGTAGGAGAGGTAGCGGACGGGCTTGCGGGGGAGGGCGAGGAGGGTGTGGGAGGAGGAGCGGCGGGGGACGACGCGGGCGATAGGAGGAGGGGGCAGAGGAGGCAAGGCTTGAGATGGATTGAGTGAAGGCAGCAATGATTCCGCGTGGTTAAGAGGAGAAGGAGATATGCACGGTGAGGATTGCAAGTAGGGAGAGGAGGAGCAGGAGGGACAGAAGGAGGAGGGAGAGGAGGGAGAGGAGGAGGGAGAGGAGGGAGAGGAGGAGGGAGAGGAGGAGGTGAAGGGCATGGAATGCCGTGATTGTGGACTTTATTACTGTGCGAAGATTGTCGGGGGAATATGAAGGTTTTGACTGCATGCAAGGGTCAGGGGTATGCTCGATTTACTCGAGGACGTAAGACTGAAATCGATCAGGTAGCCCCACCCCCTCTTCAGTTCCGCCTCTCAATCTCTCCCCAGCGCACCCCGCCAAAGGGCTGGGCAGGCAGTTAAAACCAAGTTTTACGGCAAGGTAGACTAGCCGAACCGATGTTTGATCGATGCCTTTGTTGCACGTGAAGTTTATTGATCAACTCTCAAATTTATAGGGAAAGACAACAATCCTATCAAATTCGTACTCTTGATCTTCAAGACCAACTTCTTGTGCTCGTTGACCTTCTCAAAGACCAACTTGAATCGATTGGTAACGTTACCAACCTGCTCTTTGGAGCGACAATCCACTCCATCGGAATGATATTCTTTCGCGTCTTCCCCTCGATCAAATGTAGGTTTAGTGAGCACCCGAATCAGCATGCAAGAGTGTTGATGTAAATGTTGAGGTCAGTGTTGACATCCTTGCAAAAACATCAGGTGTTCAATGGTATGAGGCATCTGCACTTGTGTTGTTTACTACTACACAATCAGGGCAGGTTTTTTGCAAACACACCCTTCAACGGCAGATGTACCGTAACTCGCTTCTTCAATTCATGTGTTCATCATCAATTTCAACTGATACTTCTATCTGCTCTTTAGACTAGGTATCTTACAGATAAACTTGCAGCTGTCAAGATCTTC